GGACAGACCCTTGGCTGACACCAATTATGATGTCATCATAAATAAAAGTTAATTAAATTTTTTTATTAAAAAGTATTATAGATCGTTTAATTTAAATTATTAGAACCCAAGATTAGATTAATTCAAAAGTTACTAACAGACAAATTTATTTTAGAATTAAAGTAAAATCTTATTGAATTATTTAATGAAAAATAATCTATTGCTTAGAAAACATTTTTCAAATAAGATATGAAGTAAATATTATAGACTATTCATTTGATCAAATTCTATTCTTATAATAAATGAATATGATATTTGGCTAGAGTAAATAAAATTTCTCATTAAATTATTGTTGAAAGTGTATCTTCAAGAGAATGAATGCAAATGATGTCAGAGTGTATATAAGATTTACCAGAATGATAATACATTTAATATTTTAGACTTATGGAGTATAATCAATAATCAAATCCATCAATCATATATTAGTAGAAATAATTGCCTTTTTTAGCCACTAATATTATTATTATATTATAATTTCAAATTAAATAGTCTATCCATAATCCAGATGTAGCTATAAATTTTCAAAATATTTTGAGTTGAATACGAATATTTTAATTACTTTTCAATTCTTCTTTCTATATTTTATGATATTTTTTTCCTTTCATTTCTAAATTTTAACATTTACGATGCACTTAATGAGCAATTACTTAATCAATGTAAAATAAAATTTATTCTACTCTTATCCTTATGATACCTCTAATATTGACTATCTTTTCAGTATCTAATTCTTAATTTAAAACAGGCAACTAAAATAGCTTTCTAATATCAAATCAAAGCAAATACCACTTAGAAGTTAAATAATTTAAGCCTATTCTTAAAGTATTTAAAAAATTTCCTTTTCAATTATTTTTTCATACACTATAAGTATTTAATTATTTTCATTTGTAAAAGGTAAATTAGTATTCAATGTATAAAAAATTATTTGAATACTTAGATTATATAATGTTCTAACCTATATTTTTAATATGAGAATAAAATTAACATTTCATATTTGAAATACTTTAAAAATATTTAAATATTTTTCAATTCTAAATGAAAACTTGAATCTATTTAAATATTTCATGTATTCTTTTATTCAATAAAAATAAAATTCATTTAAAGTATATCCTATCACCTTTCTAAATTTTAAATTTAAATTAATTAATTGAACAACTTATAGAAATTCAAGTAGTATATTTTTCTTCAATCTTAATCTAAGAAATTAAATTAATTCATAATTCATAAAAATCGAAGAATTTAATTATACTATTCAATAAAGAGTAATAAAAATAACTATTCTGATTAAGCAATTTGACAAAATTTTTAATTAATTTAAATTAAAAAACTAAAGTAAAATTATTTATCACTATGAATAAAATTTATTAATGCATAAAATAATTTAAAAAAAATTAGATTTATTTTCCACTTTATTATTAATAAGATAATTACATAATTTATTTTCAATATATTGCGAAATTACGGTTTCATCTATAATTTTTTTAGATCTTTATATTTAAGTCCTTTATTAAGTAATTATAATATATATAATATAAATTTATATATAGCCTTTTTTGTCAGATTTTAAACATAAATTATTGAATAATTTAATTCAATCTTGAAAATTTGTATTTAATCAAAAAATCAATGAAATAAGTTAAAAATAGCAAGAAAATAAAAAAGTAAAAAAAATAGAAAAGGTAGGAACAAAAGGCATCCCAGCCATTAATAGATGAAAATAGTATTTTTACAAAAATTATTATATTAGAAAATAATGGTTAAGAGGATTAAAGTGCAATAGAAAATTATGAGGTCTCCTTCTTGGACCCTGAGGAAGGTGATTATGATGAAATTTGCGATAATGGTAATGCAAATAAATAATGAAATAGGATAGGAAATATAAGAATATGATGATCATCAAGGTGCAATAGGCCATTTCAATATAGCAATTTAAATAGATCCAAATAATTCTTATGCATATTATTTAAAAAGTATTTGATCTAATAATTCAAATAAGGTGTTTCATTAGAAAAATTAAATTTTTTAGAGAAAGCTTTGGTACATGTTAATAAAGCTCTTTCAATTGACCCTTCAGATGAAGATTCACTAACATTAAAAAGTATTTACTTTTATAGATAATTAGGTTAAATATTAGAAAAGCTAAATTTATAAGGGAAAGATGTTAAGGTGAAAGAAAAAATGTCAGCTAAAATATTAAAAAAGGGGCTTAACTTAATGTTTTATATCAAATTAAATAATTTAGGGAAAAAGATCAATTCTAAGAAGCAATTAATTCTTTTGATCATTTGATTAAAATTAATCCAAATAATTATTAAGCCTATGTTGAAAAAGGTATAAAAGAATAATAATTTAGGAAATGCGTTATTTTATTTATTGGAATTTCATGAAGCTCGTAACTGTGCCAACAAGGCCATCTAAATAGACCCAAATTAAGAGGCAGCTTATATTTTATTAGGTTTTTTAATTAAAAATTGTAGGCATTTCATTATCTGAATTGAGTCACACACAACAGGCAATTGATTCATTTCATAAAGTTATGTACATCAATCCAAAAAACTTTGAGGCACAATACCATTTAGGTATTTATATATTAAATTGGCAGGGTGTCTTTTAAATAAAGAACAAAAATTTCACGATGCAAATTATTATTTGGACAGAGCTCTTTCATTAATTTCTGATAATCCTTTAGTTTATCTAGAAAAAGGTTAATATAAAATTAAACTTTAGGTTTTAGTTTATTTGGTATGAAGAAATATGAATAGTCAATTTAATGTTATAAGGAAGCCCTAGCTTTGAATCCATCAAAAGATTTATAAGAAAGGTTGCTTATGTGCAAAGGTGATTAATTCATATTAAAAGTTAGGTTAATCATTATATAGTATTAATTATTATGAGGAATCATTAAAATGTTATGAAAATGTAATTTAGATAAATCCTAATAATGATTAGGCCTACTTCTAAATAGGTATCACTATTATTAATAATGTTAGGAGTTGTATTATAACATTTGAATGGATTTAATAAATCATTAGAGTACTTTTAGAGAGCCCTACGTTTATAACCCGATAATGAGACATATCAAAATTATATAGGTATTTTATATTCTATATAATAGATTATGTTTTAGATCGCTAGAAACTTACCAAAAAGCCATAAGAAAAATCTAGAAATACAAAATACAAGAAAGGATTGAAATAAAAGTTAAAGAGAATTGCAAAAAAATGATAAAATTAATTATGTATATTCTTATCATAATACCCTTAATTTTATCACTTGTATATTACGATATAATTTCATTATCAAAAAAATTTGATAATCAACATAAAATCTATTAAATTTTAACAGAAATTAAATAAGAATAAAGCCTTGCTTAAGATATATCAAATAATTATCATTTTAGATGTGAGATAACAATCTTATGTAATTAATTTAAAAAATATAAATACTCTAAATCAAGAAAGACTTTGAATTTTTTGAGTTAATTTTCATAAATTCATTTACAACTAACCCTAATTAAATATTAACTGGCTTTTTCCAATATAATTTAGAAGTCAGAAGTCAAATTAAATCTTGTAAAGAAAGTTGGCATCCTACATTTAATAATACTCAAATAATTCTCTTAAAATCAATGATTACTATAATAAAAATATAAGAATGTAAATCTTTAAAATTTGATAAATACTTTTTAAAATTATATAATTGATTAAACATTTAACACTTGATAAATTGTTTTTTGTTAAAGGTAAAAAATTTACAGAATATTATTTTGTATGAAATTTAATAATTTTAATTTAGGTGCAAGATTATCATTTAAAGGTGGAATTGAAAATTATTCTCAATAGAAATAATCTGATTATCTTAAATGTAAGAATTCTATCATGCCTTATTGCTAAATGGAAACGAAAGAACTCAGATCAATAATTTATTAATGATATTAAATAAATATCATTTCTTATTTCTTAATTGCAAAATTAATTTTTTTAATTCCTTTTGGTCTTATTTGCAATGTAAAAGTGGTTTTTCATAATTCTCTATAGCTTATTAAGATATTTTCAAATGATCAAATTTATGTACACTGAGTGGTTATTTATAGTAAAGCACTTATTAAAATAAACTTATTATAAACACTTATTATAATAGGATCTAGTTAGATTGCTTTATAATAATATTGCTTCATTAGATTTATCAAGATTATGTCTCACCATTATCTTAATATTCATTTTATTCTAATGAATACCCTTACAATCATAAAAAAATATATTATCCTTCATGAAATACCAAACACTATAATATAAATTATTTTTAAGGCTTTATTAATCGATTAAATCGCTTGTTAATGTGGATTCAATTATACTTATATGCAAATTTCCTAATGAATAATGACTAAAAGGCTATTTAAAAAACAAAGAATTACTTTTCTATATAAGGCAATAAGATGTTTTGGTTCTTCTATCAAAACCTTCTCATATTACTCGATTATTTATTGATATATCTTTTTATGATTTATAGTCATAATAAAGAACTGCATAATATATTGAAATTATTGAGGATATTAACTTGTTGAAATGAAAATCAATTTATTTTTTGCATTTTTTCTAAGTCGTTAATCTAAATAATCCTAAAAAACTCTATTCTCTTAATATAATCCCTTTTCCAGGTTGATTCATTTCAATTATTACAATAGATATAACTAAGTAATTTATAAAGAAATACCTTAATTATAGAAATAATTTAGAATTACTTTAAAACAATGTTGTAAATGATTGTTTCTTTTAAAATTTTACGTATATATTAATTTTTTTATAAGCTTCCTGTTATTTCTTCGAATTTAATACTATCAGATTTGAGTTATTTGATTTTAGTTCTATCCCTAATTTAGTTTAAAAAAAAATTGAATACTTTATTCAAATTTTATTTCATTACTTTGTTAAATACCTTTAATTCTTATTATTTTTCGTCTAAATCCAAACTTAAATCATTCTTTTTATACTAATTATAATAATTAAATGTAAATATTAGTAATACAAAAATACCCATTTCATTTTACATCATGATCTCCTCTTAATTANAAATCAATGATTACTATAATAAAAATATAAGAATGTAAATCTTTAAAATTTGATAAATACTTTTTAAAATTATATAATTGATTAAACATTTAACACTTGATAAATTGTTTTTTGTTAAAGGTAAAAAATTTACAGAATATTATTTTGTATGAAATTTAATAATTTTAATTTAGGTGCAAGATTATCATTTAAAGGTGGAATTGAAAATTATTCTCAATAGAAATAATCTGATTATCTTAAATGTAAGAATTCTATCATGCCTTATTGCTAAATGGAAACGAAAGAACTCAGATCAATAATTTATTAATGATATTAAATAAATATCATTTCTTATTTCTTAATTGCAAAATTAATTTTTTTAATTCCTTTTGGTCTTATTTGCAATGTAAAAGTGGTTTTTCATAATTCTCTATAGCTTATTAAGATATTTTCAAATGATCAAATTTATGTACACTGAGTGGTTATTTATAGTAAAGCACTTATTAAAATAAACTTATTATAAACACTTATTATAATAGGATCTAGTTAGATTGCTTTATAATAATATTGCTTCATTAGATTTATCAAGATTATGTCTCACCATTATCTTAATATTCATTTTATTCTAATGAATACCCTTACAATCATAAAAAAATATATTATCCTTCATGAAATACCAAACACTATAATATAAATTATTTTTAAGGCTTTATTAATCGATTAAATCGCTTGTTAATGTGGATTCAATTATACTTATATGCAAATTTCCTAATGAATAATGACTAAAAGGCTATTTAAAAAACAAAGAATTACTTTTCTATATAAGGCAATAAGATGTTTTGGTTCTTCTATCAAAACCTTCTCATATTACTCGATTATTTATTGATATATCTTTTTATGATTTATAGTCATAATAAAGAACTGCATAATATATTGAAATTATTGAGGATATTAACTTGTTGAAATGAAAATCAATTTATTTTTTGCATTTTTTCTAAGTCGTTAATCTAAATAATCCTAAAAAACTCTATTCTCTTAATATAATCCCTTTTCCAGGTTGATTCATTTCAATTATTACAATAGATATAACTAAGTAATTTATAAAGAAATACCTTAATTATAGAAATAATTTAGAATTACTTTAAAACAATGTTGTAAATGATTGTTTCTTTTAAAATTTTACGTATATATTAATTTTTTTATAAGCTTCCTGTTATTTCTTCGAATTTAATACTATCAGATTTGAGTTATTTGATTTTAGTTCTATCCCTAATTTAGTTTAAAAAAAAATTGAATACTTTATTCAAATTTTATTTCATTACTTTGTTAAATACCTTTAATTCTTATTATTTTTCGTCTAAATCCAAACTTAAATCATTCTTTTTATACTAATTATAATAATTAAATGTAAATATTAGTAATACAAAAATACCCATTTCATTTTACATCATGATCTCCTCTTAATTATTCGGAAATCATTCCTTAACTATTTACAAATTATTTTTCATTTATTTACACTCCAAAAATATTTTAATTAACTTAACTTTAACTAAAATCTGGTTTTTTTTAGCTTTGACTACTAATTTAAACTTACAATTATCCCTTATTTTTCTCTTTATTTGTTCATAATTTACATCGCCTTATAAATTTTTGTTTATCTAATACCTAGCTATAATCTTTTTTTTATTTCTATATAATTAATTACTTGGATATTTAGTATATATTTAATATTTTGTTCTTTATATTTGAAATCTAACATTCGATTATTTAATTATTTGATATTTCAATGAATTTAGAAAAAAGTTAATATAATTTGAATTAACATTTTGAAAACAGTAAAATTTCACTAATTCCAAGAAAAAAAAGGCAAATTAAAAAATCAAAAGGTAAAGCATCCAAATTAGATTCTTCTAATTGTTAAGAAATTTAAACAGGTAATTTCTTAAATTTAAATATCACCCCATCTTCAATTGTTCCAAATTAGTATTAGAATAGATACTGCTAAAATAATAATTTATTTTATATTGAATATTTGTTTGGATCCATTTATGATTATCATAATTCTGTCTCAATCTCACTCATTACTTTGAATCGTTCTTATATTTCAAAATGATGTTAGAATTACAATAAATTTTCATTATTCTTTTATCCTACTACTCCTATTTAATTAAATTCGTTCAAAGATATTTTAAGTTGTTAAAACTTTTATTTTAAATCTGTTTGCTTTTTGGTTACTTCACTTATTTTATTTCAGTATTTTTTGAATTTGAATTTAATTTTCCTTTTTTTTTTCAATGCATTGATCAAATGTAGTTTTAAAAATATGAAGTCTCTTTGATCTAAACATTTATGTATAAAACCCTTTAAGTTTTCTGAATATATAAATATATACTAATAAAATATATTTATTAAGTTAGTCAATTAGTTGGGAAAACAACATATAGCACAGTATTCAATCATCCTCTGTCTTGTAGCTTGTGTGATGCAAAACCAAGAGCTATTTCCTATATAACTAATTAATGAAGCTATCTTTATAAATCTATTTTTGCAGAATTAAAAGAATTTCATTATCGCAACTCCTAATAAAAACTTAATTGTTGTACAGGCAGATTTAAATTTTGGTAAGTAATACTCTTACAGAAGAAGTCCTATTTAAAGATTTTAAAGATTTAAGTATCCGATTAGCCTCTTCAATTATAATAATTTCAATATAAATATGAAGTAAATGATATTTAGATTAATAATATAATACTTTTAATATTTTAATTTTGAATATTAAATGAAATTATTAATTATATAAA